ACTCACTTACAAAACATTTATTTTTCTCTCTCAAAGTACAAGGAGAATAATGAAAGAGGGTAGGAGAGCTTTTAAATGATGCTCGCGGAAAGCTAATGGTGTCGTGCACCGGGTAGCTCGGGCTTCGTTAAGAGATCGTCTTCCATTGAACTGGGTTGCAGATCTTCCTCCTACTCTATGACAATGATCTTCATTTTGCTTTTGCATCTATATATCCTAAAAAAAAAAAAAAAAAAAAACACATACAAAATAATTGACAACACCAAGAAGTTCACTTCTAACATCATACTTATGCTCTACATTTGTTTTTGTTCAAACAAAGCTTTCAAATTATACGACCTGTATTTGAAGTACCATTCCACATTAGACTCGCAAGTTGTTGATAAGTCATTTCAGTTGGATGACTAGCATCAAAGAACACATATTTACTAGCATTGCTACACAACTCGTACTCTTTCACTCCTCTCATCCCTCTGCAACTATTAATTACCCGATATGGACCAGAGCCACAACATGCACTTTTTGCTTCCTTGAAACCTTTCACAACATATAATCACGTCAATAAATATCTTTTCAATGTTGACTTTTTTGAACTTTTTCAGTTTCGTTAATTTTTTTTTTAGTGATTTTTTTTTTTTTGGGGTTGAAATTTACTATTTAGTTCCAGTCTTGACCAAAATTTTTAAAGGGAAGTTTAAAAAATAAAAATAAAAAAACAAAAATAAGTCAAATTTTGTTTTTGTAAGATTTTTTTAATAAATATCTTTTCAATGTTGACTTTTTTGAACTTTTTCAGTTTCGTTAATTTTTTTTTTAGTGATTTTTTTTTTTTTTGGGTTGAAATTTACTATTTAGTTCCAGTCTTGACTAAAATTTTTAAAGGGAAGTTTAAAAAATAAAAATAAAAAAAACAAAAACAAAAATAAGTCAATTTTTGTTTTTGTAAGATTTTTTTAATAATTTTTTTGATAAAATTTTACTTATTTTCATATTTTTTTTTCAAAGTTGACTCAATTTTTAAAAATTTTAAATTTTTTTTGCGCGTTACCTTGCATAGAAAGACAGAAGGTAACCTTCGCCACATTCACCTTCAAAGGCGATGTACAAGAATGGTGGCCTCTTACCCTGGAGAAATAAGATATTGTGACTTGGATAAGATTTTTGGAAGTATTCTATTAAAAATACTTTCCAGATTCACTGCGGGAACAAAAGGCGTTGGAATTCATACATCTAAGGTAAGGAACCATGACAGTGGTCGAATACGAGAGCAAATTCACGCAATTGGCTTGATTTGCGACATACATCATCCCCACCGAAGCTTGAAAAGCCAAGAAATTCGAAGTAGGATTGGATGCTGAAATCAAGTACATGTTGGAGGTTTTGAAACTACCAACCTATGCGGAGGTGGTAAATCGAGCATACATTGCGAAAAAAGGGATTAAAGCCTTGCGCTCCAGGGAACCGAGTCAAAGGAAGTGATTTTGGAAAAAAGATAACAGAAGATCTGGTGTCGCGCCTCCAAAGAGGGTAAATATGGGCACAACTAGTTCAACCGGTTCGAGCAACCAATGTTCTACGAACCCCAGAGATGGCACTATACCACTTTTGTCACAACCCAAACCCAGTTCCCAAAGGTTCGACGTTGTAACGAGATAATAAAAATAAAATAATACTAAAAAATTTATGTAGTAGTAGCGCAAGTGGATAATTTAAATAAATTAAAGCAAAATAAATGGGTACCAAAAGTTTATTAAAAAGGAAGATAGTCATTTGGGCTGTTTATTTTATAACACGAGTCCAATCAGAAATACAAATAGTAAATAAAAAAAAAAGAAAAAAAAACACTGCGATTTATCCTCCATCTTGATCCCACTAAATCTCGTCACCTGAAAGGAGTAACAACTATAAGCACATAGCACAGTAAGAAATATTATACTGTGAGTATAGGGGCACAAAATAGCCATGGATGGTTATTTAAGCTAAAATATTAACATAAAAAAAAAATTACCATTACTCTGATACCACTTATCGCGACCTGCTCCTCATACCCAAGGGTTAAGTATCGTGATGGTCAGTAACTGAAGTTACCTTCGGCCAATTCTTAAACAAATTACTAAACGTGAGCGGAAAAAAATATTTAAGTGAGGATACCAAAATAATCATTGGAGCTTCTATTTTTATAACAAAATTTACGGACCAAAATGTCGATATTTACATATGAAGAATAGAATTATAAATACTATAAAAGTACTCTATGTGTCTATTCCACATCCCTGCTTCTAAGACTCTCCAAAAGCTATTTCTGAATTGCCTTGTTTTTTAAAAATTGATAAACAACTATAAACACATGGCAGAGTGAGAAATATTATGCCAAGAGTATAAGAGACACAAAATAACCATGGATAGTTACGTAACTAAAATAGTTAAAATAACTTAGGCTGAACGAATAATCATTTAAGTAGCAAAACTGAGATTATATAAATAAATAACCATAATCACGGTATCGAACAGAACAAAATAGAGGTCATAGGAGTAACAGTCAGAACAAAAGTCAATGGATTCATGATAATACAGAGGTACGGACTCAAGAAGTGGCTCGTACGGATTCTAGAGGTGGCTCCCACAATAGTGTAGCACTTAGCTCCACACAGCACTTTGCTCTGTACAGAACAGAGGTCAATATATCCATGACAATAGAAGGCCGCAAGGTAAGAGGTGGCTCGTACGAATTCCAGAGGTGGCTCCTACAATAGTGTAGCACTTAGTTCCGCACAGAACAGATGTCAATATATCTATGACAATAGAGGGCCACAAAATGATCAATCAGAAGTCAATGGTTTATTTAAGTCCCCCAAGGCATGGTACTTTCGTGGTGGTATTTACAGAAAATAATTATTTATAAAATCATTGTCAAATAATTTCTAACATTTAAACAAATATATCCATGGGTTTCAATTTAAACAAATAGAGTTCAGAAAATAATCCACGTAATTAAAATATTAACATAACCATAAAACATAAATTATACAAAATAAATTATGGTAACTCAAAATATACGTAAAATATATTATGGTAATTCAAGACATATATAAAATATATTATGATAACTCAAGGTATAATATAACTCGTCTTAAATTTACTCTTAAATTATTCTGGGCTCACTCCCCGTTTCTAAGGCTCCTTTCCAACTTGAATAATGCTTTCTGCTACAGCCCTAACCCTAAGGCATACACATAGGTAATTTCCCTTAATGCCACCCGTCCTTGGCCCTTAATTTTACCTCTTCTATTGTCACTTGTTCGGGGCCCTTAATTTTATCTTAAAAAATCACCAAGGGCCATGTTAACCTTTGGCCCACCGAAAACGTATTTGGTTATTTATTTATTATTATTATTATTATCTTCTAACAAAATTCGATTCTCACACACCACCCTGCACTTCTATTACTCTACCACTAAAAAAATTAAGGATAAATTACAAATATACTTTTAAGATTTGTTTCAAATATGATTTGTCTTATATAATTTTGAAATTATATCTTACTCTTTAAAATTTATAATTTTATAATAAATGACCTATTTTATTAATAAATTATTAAATTAATTAACAATTTTTAATGATATTATAAATTTATTTTAATTAATAATTCAGATAATTTTATCATTATATAGGAGAACAATTAATAATTTAATTTTTTAATTAATTCTGTTAAATAAAAAAATTATAACAATGAGGTATTTGTAATTTTTGAAATTACAAATAGCAATCCGTATTTTAATATTATTTCAATAAGTATATTTGTAATTTATTCAAAAATTAAATTTCAGGATTATAGTAGTAATTTTTATTTATTTTTTCAAAATTAAAAAAATAAAAATAAAAATAAAAAGGGGGAGCATGGATTGATCCGCCGAAGGTCAACCCGTTTGGCTCTCTATGGTTAGCGAACCGCGGTCACATGGAAATGGTCGGTCCATGGTCCATAATTCGCGATCCTGAAACGTTTTTCTCCTGAACTCGTTGCTGCTGATTGCTGAAGACAACTATATTCAGGTACTATTTTCAGTAAATCTAGGTCATCCTGGTTCAAATTTGGATCATTACATACATCGTCTTGCATTTGTTTGATAAACAAACTTCCCTGAATCAACCGAGAAAATGGCAATATGTCATTTTCTTTTCCTTTTTTTCATTGTTTTGTTTATAACGTAAATCCTTATAAGAATCAAACAGAGGGCAATGTTTATATATTGGTTTGTTTGAGAAAACTTTGAAATAGAGTCAGGTTTGTTCTCTTGTAGCATATGCGAAATATAAATAAACATACACTTCGTACAATATTTTTACACTTTGTGTGTTTTGTAATTGGTTTTGAATTGGGGTGGTCAGAATACATAATAGTAAAAAAAAGTAATTGAAAATAGTTTTGAAAAAATTATAAACCAAACAAATTTTATATTTTAAGGTCTCAAAAATCATTTTCAAAATAAACCAAACACAACCTACAGTTCAGTTTGGATTATGAGAAATAATTATAAATAAGTGGTAAATTTTATAGATATTAATAATTAGAATAAATTGTAAATACATCTTTTAAGATTTATTTACAATACGAATTATTTCATGTGATTCTGAAAATTACATCTCGCCCCTTGAAGTTTATAATTTTATAATAAATGACTTATTTTATTAATAAATTATTAAGTTAATTAACAATTTTTAATGATATTATAAATTTATTTTAATTAATAATTCAGATAATTTTATCATTATATAGGAGAACAATTAATAATTTAATTTTTTAATTAATTCTGTTAAATAAAAAAATTATAACAATGAGGTATTTGTAATTTTTGAAATTACAAATAGCAATCCGTATTTTAAGCAAATTTCAATAAGTATATTTGTAATTTATTCAAAAATTAAATTTCAGGATTATAGTAGTAATTTTTATTTTTTTTTTTCAAAATTAAAAAAATAAAAATAAAAAGGGGGAGCATGGATTGATCCGCGGAAGGTCAACCCGTTTGGCTCTCTATGGTTAGCGAACCGCGGTCACATGGAAATGGTCGGTCCATGGTCCATAATTCGCGATCCTGAAACGTTTTTCTCCTGAACTCGTTGCTGCTGATTGCTGAAGACAACTATATTCAGGTACTATTTTCAGTAAATCTAGGTCATCCTGGTTCAAATTTGGATCATTACATACATCGTCTTGCATTTGTTTGATAAACAAACTTCCCGGAATCAACCAAGAAAATAGCAATATGCCATTTTCTTTTCCTTTTTTCATTGTTTTGTTTATAACGTAAATCCTTGTAAGAATCAAACAGAGGGCAATGTTTATATATTGGTTTGTTTGAGAAAACTTTGAAATAGAGTCAGGTTTGTTCTCTTGTAGCATATGCGAAATATAAATAAACATACACTTCGTACAATATTTTTACACTTTGTGTGTTTTGTAATTGGTTTTGAATTGGGGTGGTCAGAATACATAATAGTTACCAGAACTTAGAAGAATTTTCACATAATTTCCTAGTATTAATATATTGTCACAGCATTTCACATAGTTATCAGAAGATCCCTAGTATTGTCATGCGTTTTCTTTTCCTTTTTTTTTTTTTGGTGATTATTTTTCCATACAAACTCAATCACTTGGTAACCTTGCAAAATTTACAATTTCAGCACTTAAAACGTAGTAAACATAAATTGAATTTGTTTGCTAATTATCACTTGGAATGTTAAGTTTTTTATTTTATTTTTTATTTTTTTAAATATAGGCTAAAAATTTAAGTTATAGAACTCTTAATTATGAATGGTGAATGTTGAATTTTTAATCTATTATGATTATGCCACTGAGGTGCACCAACGTTACCCTACTAATGCCATCACCATTATTGTTACCACCACCACCACCACCACAACAAACCATCATCGTTGTTGCCAGCGTACCATCACTACCGCTACCATTGTCACTCTACTACCACCACCATCGCCGTCGCTACCCCCTCTACCTCAACCACCATTGTCACCATCACTCTACTACTACCATTATCGCCACAATGCCATAACTATCTTGCCTCACACCACCACCACTATGCTACCACCACAGCATTGTTATCAAATCACCATCACAAACATTGAGAGTGTAAGAAAATTTTAAAAATTAATAAATTTCAAATTTCAACTCTTTTACATACAAAACCACTTGATTAAATTTACCACTTAAATTTCATTAAATACCAAACAATTTTTCAAATTAAAAAATTCAACATTCAGTTTTCAGTACTTAATTTATAGTTTTTGGTTTTCAGTTTTATCAAACAACTAGTGTATGGATCATGTAACTTTTTTCGGCAGGACATTCTTGGATTTTTTAAAAGATGAGGAGCACAAGAAACCCATCAGAAGAATATTCATTCTATTGGTTGTTTTTAACTTCAGCCACAGGTGACGTTGCTTTGTTTAATTTAGCACTGTGCTCAGCAGTACCACTTTTAGAGGTTTCCATTACTTTCCCCCCCCTCCCTTGTGTGTAAAATGGTGGATTTGGTTCTTATGTCTAATATATATTATGCATTTTTGTCAGCTGTTTTGGTCCAGGCACTTGGAGTTGCTTCAATTGCAGTTCCGAGTTCCAACTGCTACACTCTTGACAATTCCAGTCACATTTATGATTTTGTATCCTACACATCGTAATTGGTTTGTAATTGCACTAGAAAAATCTAATTTGTTTGGTTATGACATGTACCTAACGGCTGGCATACACTTGTAAAGGAAAAGTGAATATTCGTTTCTGTTTTTAACATTGGAAATCTCCTGAATTTATCACTCATATATGATATTTGATCTACTGAAAGAGCTCAAATTGCCATAATTAAGATGGAGAGAACTTTAAGTACAGAATAGAATGTGCTTTTGTTGGATGGGTTCCATTTCCATATGGAATTTCGTAGTTTTTGTTGGACCTGTTGTATGGTCAGTCACACTAACAAATGATTTCCATTATGCTAGTGCCACCTGGTGGATACTTGAATGCCAGGTTTGGCTTGTAGAGCAATGATAGAAAAGAAAATAAATTGATTAAAATTATTTAGGAAAAAAGTCTTTTTTAAGCCCCTTTCCTTCTTTGTTTTTAACAGGCTCCAAATGGAGCCTAAATTTCTTACTTTTACTGGTCATTATTGATTACTTCATACGAATTTTGGAAATGATTATAGAAATTGTTTCTCCTTAATTTGTGGCTCAGAGTGGGTGGATTGGAAATCCATTTGAGTATGATGGGAAGGTAATGTCTCAAATGATAATCATACATCATTATTTTTTGAGTGTGAAACAATATGCAGAGTGTACTGATTGTTGGTACTGGTAATAATTTTCAAAGCTCGTCTATGGCTTTCTTTTTTTTTTCTTCTTCTTCTTTTTCATTTCAGGATTCTGACTTGGTGGTTCGATTTTGTAAAGATGTAGAGAGCAGATCACAAACGGTACTCACTATATTCTCAATTAAACTATCAGTGAAGTATACATGTATATAACTACATCTATCTTTCGGTTAAATAGATTAAGATGATGAATCGTATTTTGAAATGTTGTCCTATGTTGTGATGTTTCTTTCTTTCTCCAAATTATCCTGCAAAAATTTTGAACAATTAGGAATAAATTATTTCTTCAACATGAGTACCTGCCTCCTAACTTACATGGACTCTTCAAAATAAATCAAACACACATGCTAGACACCCAACATTTGGACAAGGGTGTGGGATATGTGTCCGGTACTTTTCATCGGACACTTCTTATATATTTTTATTTAACACTATCATTATATGTATATATTATTGTATAATTGCTATAAAATGAGGAAATACCATTTTGATGTTGTATGTCGCATATAACACCATTTTATCTTATATAATAGATTAAAAGTATAAAAGTATCACCCTTTTTTGGCATGTCCATGTACCCTTAAATTTGGGATTTGATAGGTCTGATCTCTAGGTACACGCCTGCATCGACACTTGTACCTGAGTATGTAACATATGCCTCCACCCCTCTCTTTAAAGCAATCCAGTGTTATTTAGGGAGCTTATAGTTGATATAGAGAGCTAGGATGAATGAGTCAGGACAAGACACATATATTTAATGGGAGTAGTGTAACCACAAAACCCTATGTTGTTGTTCGCTGAACCATTTAAGGCGTATGATTATTCAATGCCACCTAAGTTTTTATGTATAACTTACCTTCATACGATCTCTTCTTTGAACAATTGCTTATTGCAGACTACATCAACTGCACATGGTTGAGCTTTCACATTGTAACTTAAATGCTGTTCTATCTTTAAGTAGCCACTAATGGTTTTATTGGGGAACTTTGTAGCTGCTTTTAGAATTCTGCTTCAAGGATATGGTAGAAAAGAGGAAAGTTTGTGTTTCCAAATAAATGAGTCATCTTTTGTGAGACTGACGTAGCACAAAGACTACGTGGTTCTTGTGTCCCATACAAGTGCGTGAATCCTACTATGGTTAGTCATTATCCCATGCCACTAAGTAGGTGAAAATATTATATCCTGATTTAATGTTCTATAAGTTGATCAGGTTTGAAGCTTCTTCATGTCGAACGCATAATATAAAACAAAATTGAAGCTATAAACTTTTTTATATTCACTTGGTCAGAATAAGCATGTTAGAAATAAGTTGTTTGATGTAATTTGTATTTTCTACTATTTAATATAGCTTATTTTTCTGTCAGTATGATGCTGCTTAAAATTACATGCTAAAATTTTGCAGGGATATGTGGATTTTGGCAGATTTGATAAGTCCAACTTTTTTGTTGCTGGTTCAGGTCATGTTAACTTTGTTCAGGTAAGTTGTGATTGGTGATGATTCTTATTTTTGCAAGCTCTATTTTCCTTAATTTAAGCAGTTAACACTGTTGGTGCAGTTAATTCCCTTTGGTGATTTTTCTCCGTCCTAACATATGACAAACTGGTGATCTTTTTAAATATTTGTATGTCATTTTAAAGTTCCCTTGAAATAGTTTTAATATAACCAAGAGCGTTTCTTTAAGTCCCTTTTTCCTTTGACATATGTTTTATGGCATTTCATTGGTTCAATATACATAGTAATAGAAACATTTTCTTAGCTTCCATACAAATGAAATACTTATGCTGTATTTAATTATCTGATTGCATAGCCCTTTTTTTTAATAGAAAAATTTATCTTGCGCTTCATGAGTGCTTGGATGGTAAAGAAGTAGATATTCTGTGCTTTTTTTATAGCACAAGCTAATTGGTTGGTAGTTAATAAGGTAAAATGTTAAAATGGATTTTGTGATGCAATTATTACAGGATAAAGGTTAGTAGATGGAAATAGAATTGCATTATATGTTTAAAACTATGTATCATTGCATGAGATTTGAATGAAAAGCCCCAATAATACCATTACATGTAACATCTTTAAGAACTGAGAAAGTGTGGTGTTGAGCCTAGTTAGTTGGAAATCATGGTTAAGCACTGGGAATTTAAGTCCTTTATGTTCTTGGAAGGATTTGTGTTTAAGAAAACACAGACAATGCAATTTGAGAAATGATTATGCTTCTCTGCTTTCCCATTGCCTGTTTACTTTCATTGTGCCATTCCAGCTCTTCTGTCAAATATTGGAGTTATCAGCCTTTTCTGTTTATCGCAGACTTGCAACATAAAAGAAGGAAGCTAAAAACTTGTGGAATGTTTGCCTAGCTAATATATATTTCAGAAGTTTGGAAGCTATTTTCTATGGACCTAATTTGCTTGATTGCATAGTGCATTGCAACTTGTAAAACCTAACTTTTATGTACTCAAAATTCTCTTTACATCCAGGACTTCTACAATGGCGATTTGATAAATTGTGAGCATAGTTATGACAAGGTGGGACGTACAGCTCAGGTTAGTTGCATGATATTCCCTTTTTCTTTTTGAGTGATACATAAATTTTATTTGTTAGATATGGTTCAGAGGATTGTATGAGAATACCGTTCAAAGTGACATTTTTTTCATTTTGTTTGGCTGTGAGGCAGGATAAGGGGCATACAAATCAGTATTTCATAAGTTGAATCTTGAACTTCCCCTAATTGTACTCATCTAAGTTTTATAAATAAATTTTCTAATTGAATTTCAGGTAAATATCATTTGTGGGAGTTGTCCAAACGGAAAATGCAAAGGTATGCGAGCTCTCCACTTTTGAGTTTCAAAGTTTAAGTTGCTTCAATTTCATAATTAAAATGATCCATTGTGGATATGTGTGTGTTTGCGAATCTGAACAGTGAACGGTGTTTTTCACCCTCTATTTGGTTGCCTTGCAAGTGAAATTGACTTGTGGAGTTTATAAGATTCAGTTCCAGCAGGATGATTGATGGCATAATTAAAATTTTGAAGCCATACAGCCTTTTGGAATTTTCATACAAAAATATTGGACTTGTTGAGAAAAAGGCCATCAATCCACACTTAGGACTCAATTGAAAAAAAAAATAAAATGATCGAAGCTTCTATTTTTTTTACTTGGAGCATTACGAAAAATGGTATTAGTATCCCACATCTGTTCCTGTAAATGTTAGAAATAGTGAATGCTAAATTGCTTATAGCTTTCTTGTATCGCTGTTGGGCAACCAGTTCTGAATCCTGTCTTGTGGAGTTTTATAAGATTCAGTGCCAGCATGATAATTGATGGAATAATTAAAATTTTGAAGCCATACAGCCTTTTGGAATTTTCATACAAAAATATTGGACATGTTGAGAAAAAAGCCATCAATCCACAATTAGGACTCAATTGAAAAAAAAAAAAAAAAAAAAATGATTGAAGCTTCTATTTTTTTTACTTGGAGCATTACGAAAAATGGTATTAGTATCCCACACCTGTTCCCGTAAATGTGAGAAATAGTGAATGCTAAATTGCGTTTAGCTTTCTTGTATCGCTGTTGGGCGACCTGTTCTGAACCCTGACGACACATCTGGGTCAATTCTTTATGCAACCAACATTTAATAGAGCAAAATGGAGCTGTTGCGCTGGGTATGAGGGCCGCTACTCTGTTTTAAGCCTACACATTAGCATCCTTATTGGATTTTAGCACAGTAGAATATTGTATTTTTAAGTTTGGAATTCAAAAGATTTCTGTCAACTGGTTGACCAGATGGATTTCTGTATGTATCTTGCAGACAGAACTCAAAACTGGAAGAGATGTAGTTAATCATTGTTGTTGTTGTTATGATGTGTTCTTTTAAAAAAAGAAAAAAATGAATACTCTCCAAGCTTTAGACTTCTTGTTGCAAGATGAAAAAGCATTGTACATCTTGAATGTTGTGCTACACCAAATCTTTAATTAGTAAAGGAATTTGAATAATGCTTTCTATGCAAGTTAATCAAAGACTTGATGAGCTTCGGCATAGAGACATTAACCTTATAATAGCCTTAAAGTTTGAGGTGAGCCTAAAAATTTCTTAATTAGCACTCTCCTTATGTGTCAGTTTACAAGGGTCTATAGTTCTGGCTCTTTGTGACTTATAAAAAAATTATGGGCTTCAACAACTGTGAATACGTTTATTTACACTTTTGTGGAGGGGTGGGAGGAAATGTGATTACGTTGGCTTTGAGGTACCAACTTACGAACTGGCCAATGTTAAGGATGCAGGATGCTTACTCAGGCAGATTGAAGAATTTTCATCAATCAAGTGCTCAATTCCTTCCCATTTTGAAACTTACGGATGATTTTCTTAAGATTTCTCTCTCTTTGATGTTCTAATTTGTACTGGTCTGACTCTTTTTTAGCTGTTGTAAGTTGTCTCTAAACTTTTATGGTTGTTGTATGCTTTTGTATTTACCATGCTGCCCCTGTTTTTTAGTGGCCAGTTAACTAGCTGCTAAGGTTTTTCTTTGTAAATTGTTAGAATTAATGTATAGGAAAAGAGAGAGAGAATAAATTGATTGTATTATTGATTGATATTTTGATTTTTATTACAATGATTCATGATTCCTATATATAGAAGAGGGTGAGTGTGTAGTAGGTAAGGAGTAGGTGAAGTGGAGGTGGTAGTGGTGTAGTGGGTTAGGTTTAGTGGAGTAGGTGAGGTGGTAGTGGTGTAGTGGGTTAGGTTTAGTGGAGTAGGTGAGGTGGTAGTGGTGTAGTGGGTTAGGTTTAGTGGAGTAGGTGAGGTGGTAGTGGTGTAGTGGGTTAGGTTTAGTGGAGTAGGTGAGGTGGTAGTGGTGTAGTGGGTTAGGTTTAGTGGAGTAGGTGAGGTGGTAGTGGTGTAGTGGGTTAGGTTTAGTGGAGTAGGTGAGGTGGTAGTGGTGTAGTGGGTTAGGTTTAGTGGAGTAGGTGAGATGGTAGTGGTGTAGTGGGTTAGGTTTAGTGGAGTAGGTGAGATGGTAGTGGTGTAGTGGGTTAGGTTTAGTGGAGTAGGTGAGATGGTAGTGGTGTAGTGGGTTAGGTTTAGTGGAGTAGGTGAGATGGTAGTGGTGTAGTGGGTTAGGTTTAGTGGAGTAGGTGAGATGGTAGTGGTGTAGTGGGTTAGGTTTAGTGGAGTAGGTGAGATGGTAGTGGTGTAGTGGGTTAGGTTTAGTGGAGTAGGTGAGATGGTAGTGGTGTAGTGGGTTAGGTTTAGTGGAGTAGGTGAGATGGTAGTGGTGTAGTGGGTTAGGTTTAGTGGAGTAGGTGAGATGGTAGTGGTGTAGTGGGTTAGGTTTAGTGGAGTAGGTGAGATGGTAGTGGTGTAGTGGGTTAGGTTTAGTGGAGTAGGTGAGATGGTAGTGGTGTAGTGGGTTAGGTTTAGTGGAGTAGGTGAGATGGTAGTGGTGTAGTGGGTTAGGTTTAGTGGAGTAGGTGAGATGGTAGTGGTGTAGTGGGTTAGGTTTAGTGGAGTAGGTGAGATGGTAGTGGTGTAGTGGGTTAGGTTTAGTGGAGTAGGTGAGATGGTAGTGGTGTAGTGGGTTAGGTTTAGTGGAGTAGGTGAGATGGTAGTGGTGTAGTGGGTTAGGTTTAGTGGAGTAGGTGAGATGGTAGTGGTGTAGTGGGTTAGGTTTAGTGGAGTAGGTGAGATGGTAGTGGTGTAGTGGGTTAGGTTTAGTGGAGTAGGTGAGATGGTAGTGGTGTAGTGGGTTAGGTTTAGTGGAGTAGGTGAGATGGTAGTGGTGTAGTGGGTTAGGTTTAGTGGAGTAGGTGAGATGGTAGTGGTGTAGTGGGTTAGGTTTAGTGGAGTAGGTCTGGCTCTGCTCCAACGCATGTATAAGGATGCGCGAGCAGAGATAAGTGTGCTAAAGGCAGAAAACAAGGAGCTGAAGCGGAAGGCCACCATAATGTTCCGATTTGGAGGTCCACCATATGCTGTAGTGGAGGAGCAGAGAGGAGGCAATTTGCTTGGTGGTCTAGGAAGCACGGAGGCAATACCGTCAAGCGCCGGCCAAGACGGAGGCAAGAAGAAGAGACCAGCGGCAGAGTAGAGAAGAAAAATGCCACTGTTCCGATTTGTGTTGTTTTTTTTTTTTTTTTTTTGGGGTGTAAAATGGTGATCGGGGTGAGCCCCGACATGAATAAAATGAGTTTGGTTGTGCAGTTCGTCGAACATTCTTTGTGGGTATTTATCTATTTTGTTTATTTTATTATCTTTTGACAAAAAAAAAAATAATAATGGAAAAAAAGATGAAAAATAAAGTGAAAGAGAAATAAAAAAAGAAAGAAATAATAAGAAGATAGGTGAAATCAAAACGAGAGAGTGAGGGAAAAAAAAAAAAATTGGTTCACGTGAGTTTCTTGGCCCACGGTTTTGGTGAAAAACCTGCAATGGGTTTGGTATTTTTTTATTTTTTTATTTTTATTTTTTTGATAAAATAAAATAAATAAAGGTAAAGTGGGGTAAAGTAGGGGTAGCGTGAATCAGCATGCGTTTTAAAAAGTGAGGAGGTATGAATTAGAGTGGGTATGGATTTGTAAAAAATAATAATAAAATAAATGAGTGGAGAAGGTTGGCCCACGCTCTGATACCATGTTAGAATTAATGTATAGGAAAAGAGAGAGAGAATAAATTGATTGTATTATTGATTGATATTTTGATTTTTATTACAATGATTCATGATTCCTATATATAGAAGAGGGTGAGTGTGTAGTAGGTAAGGAGTAGGTTGCAAATGTTTTATCTTTAGTATGTGATAATTTTAAAGAGTACTTCTGAGACTAATAGTTAATAGTTTGCTCTTGCTTTTTATTTTTTCCTTCCATGTATTGTTTCTATATTTGCCAGTAATATTAGCGTAACACAAAATTTAAAGTTTGACCTCAATTGATGTGATAGATACAGTTGGTTGAAGAGTGTTTATTTTGTTTGTAGTCCTTTGGTCTTTTTTTTTTTTAAATACTAAAGACCTTCTTGGTATTCTTTTACATTTAACATTGCTTTCCATATCTCAGGTGGACTTGGATGCATTTGCAATGTGACATATGAATCAGCTTGCAGGTCTTTGTGATACATATGCTCTGTTATGTTTTGCTCTGGTTTTTCTTTTATGTTTAATCCTTGTATTTTAGTTTACTACTGACTATCTGTTACATATTTTTGTGTTATCAACTGTTGTGCTGAATATGTCCTAATTTGGTTTTTGAGGGTTTCTTATTTTGCATATCACAAGAGCTATGCCTATGAAAATTGGAACTGTATGGGATTTCTTTTGATGATCATTACAACTATCATAAACAATAGCCTTTCTCTTTCTTTGAGCCCTTTCTAAATACCTCAAGTCTGTTATTGAATTTTGTATTTGGAAAAAGGGAAAACAAAAATTATCAATCGTAATCAGTCTTTAAAGCCCCATTAGGGAAGGAATGGAAGAAAATAGTGAAACAGTGTTCTGGTCCTGAAAGGGACATAGGTGTGTGCATCTTACATATATATATATATATTTGATAAGTATAGGTATATGTTATATTTGTATATTTTCTTTACGAATATATATACATATATATATAATTTTGATAAGTTGACGAAAAATATTCAGGATGACGTGCTATGGTTATGCTTTTTGCAGACGATATCGTGCTAGTGGATGAGACTAGAGAAGGAGTTAACACAAAGTTGGAGATTTAGAGAAAAATTCTTGAATCTAAAGGATTTCGGATAAGCAGAACTGAGACAGAGTACATGGAGTGTAAATTTAGAAACAGTAACAATGAAAGCAGATGAGAAGTGAAGATTGAGAATCAAGAACTGCCTAAGAGTGAACCATTTCGTTATTTAGGGTCGATTATCACAACAGCGGGGGAGATTGATGTAGATATGACCCATAGGATTAAGGTAGGATGGTGTAAGTGGAGAAGTGCGTCTGGGGTATTGTGCGATAAACGAATACCTACTAGACTAAAAGGTAAGTTTTATAGAACGGGTATTAGACCCAACGATATTGTATAGGACAGAGTGGGCAATTAAGAAACAACATGTAGATAAGATGAGTGTGGCTGAGATAAGGATGCTAAGGTGGATGTGTGGCAAGACTAGACAAGACATGACAGAATTAAGAATGAGTGTATTCGGGAATGGTTAGGAGTAGCATTAATAGAAGATAAGTTGAGAGAGAATCGATTAAGATGGTTTGGTCATATTCAATGGAAGTGTTAGGGGACGGGGTAGGCCTAGATTAATGTTGGGTAGTGTTGTAAATAGAGATATGGATCTACTTAATTTGACTAATGAAATGACCTTTGATAGGGCCGCTTGGAATGGCCTTTGATAGGGCCGTTTGGAGAATAAGGATTCATGTAGCTGACCCCATTTGATGGGACTTAAGGCTTGGTTTGGTTTATAATTTTGATAAGTATACCTGTATGTAATTATTTGTATATTTTCTTTAGTTTTGGAAAATTTAGAAACATATTCTCAAGATCAATGGGATTGTACAAATTAAGAAACTTCTAATATGTTTATCCAATCCAATAATGGTAAAAGTTGTACTTCTGGTAAGGCACTTGCATGTTGAAATCGTAGAAGTGATCCTAATGCCTTTATAGCAAAAATCTCCAGCTTTTGAAATCTGGGATTTTCTATTAGAATTCCAATGTGTGGTTGATAACATGTATTCATTGTTTTCTACCAAAAATCTCATGATAATGAAAGATGGTTTGCCATTATGGCTGCAATATGGAGTTGACAACATGGATTATGTTTTGCATGGAAAGTGCATTCAGGCCTTGTGGCTAGTTTTAAGTTAACTGAAACATTACGATAGAGGCATGGATGTGAGGAAATCCATATCTAGTTGCAGATGTGTGCCTTTTGCTATTACTGTGATCTTCATCTGTTAAAGCCTGTAGAGGTGGTGGACAGTTAAATTCATTTCATGAGCATGTCGTTACTTTTGTTTCCCTTCTACGACATTTTTGGATCTTTGGAATAATTTTTTAATATTGAATGTTTGATATTTGGTGTTTGTGATATTGGAAGCACAAGGTATTCGTTTGAGTTCTTTGATTTTATATTTCATAGTGCTTACAAGAATTTTTGTGCAAATGGGCCTGAATCGTGTACAGTAATATGATATTAATGGTAAGAAATGGGGAAAAAAAGAGAGAATCAAAGGTAGTTGATGGGGGAAGTGCATAGCAAATTACTAGTGCTAAGGTTATTTGCAGATTTCTTGATGTTAAGTTATATTATAGATAGTATCTTTTAAACAATTCTTAATTTTGCCAAATTCTCATTTAAGTTTTCCATGTAATTTACTTGTCTAAAGAAAAATTTTTCCATGTAATTTGTTAGGCATTATCTTTCAACTCCTTTAATTGTGTGGCTATTACTTAAACTGTATGGATATTGTAACTGTTGCATCCAGAGTTCTTGTTGAACTTGCTATTCCATGCGAGAAACAGGGTCTGCGAGTATTTGAAGGTTTCACCGTTGGTTTTCATCCACGCTCATGGGAAATAGTAAGGAATTTTGTTTTTCTCATCACTAAAAATATTTTGTGCTTACCGGCTAATTACGTCTATGATAAAATTGCTTATTGTGAATGGATAGGTTTACAATGGCATGACTCAATTGGGTTTCGAGAAGTCCCACCATGAATTTAGGTACAGGAAATGTACTGTGATTTCTTTTGCTCCACATTTTCTTTCATCTCTGTATTTTCATGAATACTTTTGCTTTTTTTTTTTTTTTTTTTTGGTGTGTGTGTGTGTGTGTGTGGGGCTTCCTGCAGTGAGGTTGCATGAGTTAGGGTGTAAAAGTCATCCTTGGTTATATTCTTTTCTTAAATGACAACATAAAGTTTCTGTTTTCCATTGTCATCCTTGGTTATATTTCATCCACTTTGCTCCATTGCCTAGCATTCATTCTGCCAATGAGTGGGGTGCTAGGAGGGGTAGATTGGGTACAGACTTGATCTTTGAAATTATTTGTACAAAGTGGGTGCCTTCATACTTGAAGCTGCCTTCTCAGAATAGCCTGTTCCACCAAGCATTTCTTTACAATACTAAATCCACTTTTAGCAGGATATATTAGATTGTAGTGACTAATTTATTGGTGTGGAGGATGTTGAAAGGAAATTGCTATATATATATATATATATTAATGAACGCACTTCAATTTTCACTGGGACTTCATCTAGAGTAACTAGATGATTTGGTTTGGTTTGGTTTGGTTTGGTTTTCATCTAGAGTAACTATTTAAATTTAATTTTACTGAAACAGCTATTTCTTCAGAACTTTAAGAAATGTGCTCCTTTTTCTTGTTTTGTGCTGGATCCATTTACATGGCAAAATAACGCAGTAATACTCCATCTCCCTGCTTCTCACCACTCAAATTGTCACTCTTTTCATATATTGATCTTGTTGCTTTTTTATTTTTCCATTAAATGCTTGTTTGCAGCTGTGAGATTTGGTTTATTCATTGTGATTGATTGTATTTTGACTGGCTTCACATCTTTGCCTTACTTCCTATCAACTACCTTTCATTTTTCAAATAATATAGTTCTTATGACCTTATATTTATGCCTGGATACTTGTAGAAGTTTAGAATAATATTTATTTTTTATTAATTACTTTTGCATTACTCAACAATTACCTTGGAAGTTAAAATTTCTACCTTCTTCAGCTTCGAAACTGAACCGTCTCATGTAGCCCTTTATATGACTGCAATTGCTTCCCTTTCAAATTTAGTGCAGAAACCAACTGTTAAGGTAGTGTACTTTCTGCTTCTTCATTTGAGCTGATGCTGCTATTGTTAGATACATATATGCAATTTTTGGGCATTTTTTTTGATCAGGTTCCTTTTTATTTTTCTTTTTTCTAGGTCTTCCCAGAACATGGCCTTGAGGTTAGGTTATCAGGCTCAGGGGCAAATGGGAGCCCACCCACAACCTTGTCGCCCACGATGTTGATGGTTGATTGGAGATGTATGGATTGCTTAAAAAATAGGAATTATGGATTTATGCATGAGAGTTGTTTTGAAATAATATCTTCCACAAATTTTTGATCTTCTGAACTTCCGAGTCTTAATTTTTTAGGCGAGAAGGCTCAAGATACTCCCTATGAAGTTGAGATTACTATCCCAGTGGAGAGCTATGCACCCATTCAATTTACTCTTACAAAAATGTGTGGTAAGAATGATCTCTCTCTCAATATAACCAATCAAACTCCAGGCAGCTGCTACTGTGACCTTTTGCATGGGTGGGTTTTTGTGTTGCTTTCGTAGTCTTTCTGGATCAGCAAAATGATAAAGTTGGCTTGCTCTCAAGGCTTCTTTCTTTCCTTTCCTTTTGTTTTTCAGTCAGTAGTGATACTCGCAAGGCTTCTAGTTTCACTTTTAGTCTACCTCTGTATGATTGAACATATCTGATGAAGCAATCTTCTTCTAGACTTCGTCTAATTTTTCTCTAATTTTCAGAATCAGTCTTTATACTCCATTTGCAATCTGGTTTCATGATTACTGATACACCACGGGCATCTTTTCTAGATTTCTTATACATTTGGCTTTAAATTAAGAACTTCCCTTGACCTGAATGATGGCTGAACTTGATCATTCAATTTCAGTTATCAGAGGCAAGGAGTAAGATTGTTTTTTGTAATTATAGTTTCACAGCATATCAGCTAAATACTCAGTTACCTGCCTCTGAATACTTGATTTCCAATTGACACTCTTGTATGCTAAGAACTGTTTGTGTTTAACTGGTTGCATGGTTTGTTTGAGATTTGCAGAACATAGGCAGAATGAAGGGGGCAACACTACGAGAGGATGGGCTGTATTTGGAGTGATATCTTGCGTGTAAGCCAAGTTGAACCCTTCCTTTCTCTTTCAACCAGTGATATAATTTGTCGTATGCTTTGGATTTATTTGTAATACATCCATTATGCTTGTTCATGATCATGTGGTCTAGACAAGTGTGGTGCAGATGAGTTGGTCTCTAACACATTGTCATGTTACTTATTTACTTTTTCTCTTGGTTACTTGATGTTTGTTTTGTCTTTTGTTATTTCTATACTTTTGTGGAGCAGATTTATCGTTTCCTCAATTCTATTTTGCTGTGGAGGGTTTGTTTACAAGACACGAGTGAAAAATCTGGTAGGCTATCTTTACTTCACTGAATAACCTTTGTAGATTTTAACTTTTTGTTACCACAAGATATGGATATGATTTTCATCATAATTTATTTGTTATCTATTACTTGCAGCGTGGTCTTGATGCACTGCCAGGCATGACATTTTTATCTGCATGTTTAGAAACTGTAAGTGAACCTTTTCACTGCACTTATATTGGCAATTTAAGATCTTGGGAATCTTGGGAGTTGAAATTAGATGAGATTTGTGGATCTGGATCCTCTCCATTACATGGATGGAATGGAGATTTCTGTTTCATAAGAAATAGCTGTGAAAAAAGTCACATCAATGTATCTTTATTTCAAATTCAAAAACAGTTGAGGGAGATTTTAAAATTCAAATTGACATAATAATTATAGACCATTGATTTTGAATTTTAATGATGTGTTGCAACTTTATACATCGGAATGGAAATCTCCATTCCAACCATGTAATGGAAAGGATTTATATCTGAGATTTGTCCAAATACTAGTTGTAAAATATTTGGCTGAGTGGACTGTATCAAGATTTAATTTAATTACAGATCAGAGATTAAGAGTTGTTTGGGCAGGTCAATCGGGCAAAAGTCAGAAACTAGTCTGTGTAACAAAAATTGCCATGACGAGAAGCTCTTTCAGAGTCCTGATGGAAACTTACTATTATGCATGCATTATGCATAGTGATTACTTCTTTTTTTTTCGATTGCTTCTCCAATAAATCCTTGTGCCAAATTATAATAATTATTTTTATTACTATTTTTTGGTCCTCTAATAAGTTCTATTCAATTTCATTATAGAGACTAACTCATTAGAGAAAGGTACGGGAAGTTTTATTATAAAATTCGAGCTATGATGTGATACTTCACTTAATGATGTTTTTATTAGGTTTTTGGGCTCTGTTTTTTTTGGACTCAAATTTCTAGACAGTGCAGGGCTTCCCAAATGTTTTGGTTTGAAATGATAGTGGGCAGTAAAATTAAGCAGCTTGGCTTTTCAAGTACCCGATTCCCAGTTTCGACTTTGTTTATTTAGTTTTTTTTTTTTTTGCCTCCTGACCGGACTCTCTAACAGAGTGCTCCATTTTGGGATAAAAATATAGGTGAGCGAAGGAGGGCATGGGTATTCCAGACCAGAAGACCTTAATAATTCTTTTGTCAATCAAGCCTCTTGGGAACATCCGCCTGCTTCTGCTCAAGGAACAAGCAGAACAAGTGAAAGAACATATGGTTCGATTTGAACCTCTCGCATTTTGCAGATCTTCACCTTTCCTAGTTCTGTGACTTGGATGTATTGATACGGAGATGCCACCTATTGAAAATGCAGTCATCTTTTGGAGAAAAGAAGCATTTGAAAGTTGAGTTTTACACTTTTCATCCCAATGCAAGCAGATGTATGCTTTCTCTGGCCGGGGCGAAACAATACGGCACAACTTGGTTTTGTAAATTGAATGATGTGTGTTGTAACATGTGCGTGTTTGATGTTTAAGTTTCCCAACAGATAGAATGCAGTAAACTATACAACATTGAAGAGTATACCACATACCACTTAAGCTTGGTTGAAATTTAAAATTGTTCTGGATAAATAAATAAATAAAAAGGTTATGGATGAGATTTCCTTTGTTTTGCACCATAGTTTATCTTGCTATATATACAGGGCTTCCCTTTTGTTTGTTTGACATACTGAACTGGCTGCCCTTGTCGGTCTGAATTGATTAAAGTATTGTATTTAATTAAATTTTTTATTTTTTTGAGCATTAAAAGTTAAGTGACTAATAATACATGTGGAGGGTGGACTTGCCTCACATTGATTAACAGTAAGATGGGTTGGGGTTGTTTGAGACCTACAACACAAACAAGGCGGTTAAAGGCAACCGAATCTAATTATTGGTTGGGAGAGCGCTGTGACTGTCAAGTTACTAAGTTAGTACTCAATAGAGATGATGACTAGTATTCAGATAAATGTTGTTGTGTATCTAGAGTAATTTTTACCTTCCCCTCTATTTATAGTTTGGTTTTTCTTGATAGAGAGATGATGACTAGTATTCTGATAAATGTTGTGTATCTAGAGTTATTTTTACCTTTCTCTCTATTTATACTGGTCCTTTGATCTTTGTTCTTGTTGAAGTGACAAGCCATTGTCTAAACAACGTTGTCATTTTGTCATGCAATGTAGTCATTTTGTCAGCCAGCATTGTTTTGACGCTTGTGGTTTCATTCAATCTGATAGGCTTTGTTGTGCTTCTTTAGCCAATGTACTTGGTCTGCCAAGGTGGTCTTTCCTTTTCAACTTTCTTTTATGCGCGTCTCTCTCCTTTGGGCCTGAAATTGAACAGAGGATTTGGGCTCTTGGTCTCGAAACCTTGGCGCTAGATCTTTGGGTTAGGAGGCATTTACAGAACAATTTTCATCATTTTTATTTATTTATTCTAGTACGGGATTTTGTAAATTTTTATAATAACCTCGTGTGAATGGCTCTTCTACACCAAATCAACAAAATCAAATCGTAATATGTGGTTTATTTCGATTCCTCAACAAACGAATTAAAATGTTAGAATTTTGTATTAAATTTTTATTCAATCCTAATTGAATTGAATTGCTTACACCTTTGGAAAGTAGTTACATAATTTTATATAATTAGAAAGACACATCACATGCGATATATATAGAGGACCTAATAAATAATTTCTCCTAGTTTGACATTAGAAATTCTTGTGAATGAAATCTATTTTATACCATGGTTTCTCTTTCCTCTTGTTTTAGAGATTCTGAAGTCTTTTGGAAAGCTTGTAAAAAGTCAACTTCTGACTTTTTACTTATTTTGAGTCGCATCACCTCTCATATAACTGACTTATAAAAAGACAAAATAAATTTAAAAAGTCAAAAAATTAATTTTTTACCAACTTCTCAAAACACCCCTTTATTTTTTTTCAAATTACACTATTTGTTCTGTGTTTAATTATTTTTATAATCAATAAGAGTACACACATGCTTAGTAAAATAGCTCGTAATAATTCAACTTGAACTTTCAAATTATTGATTGAACGTCTCATCTACTAGGTCTATAAAAAACTGTGTCCATCATTGTGACCCTTGTTTTCGTTGTGCATGACTTTTTATATTCTATTGTCATGATTTTGTAGGAAAGAGAGATAATGGAAAAAGAATCTCCCTAGTTTTCGATTCTTCATCCAGAAGAAACTACCAATCAATGATTTGGTCGTCAAATCAAAGCCCTCTTTTTTAGGTTAAAAGTATGATTATTGTTGTGCCCAATATTTATATTGCAATTTGCAAGCATATTTTAACTTTTTATTCCTTTTGAAAACATATGAGATGGCATCCATAATGAGAGCATGATCATTGATTGATGCTACCTACGAGTCAAAACTAAAACTACGCAAATGCCCTTTAGTATGCTTTGTTGCTCATGAAATCAAATAACCTATTTTAATTAAAAAATTAATTATTCTTTTTATTTTTTTCTATATCTTTTCATAAAAAAATAAAAAATAATTAAAATAGTTACTTTTCAAAATAATAAAAGGTCGCTTGAGAACATATTTTTTTAATAATTTTTTGACTTTTTTTAAAACTAAAATATGAGATTAAAAAAATTAAAATATATTTGGGATGACTTTTTGATTTTCATAAAAATATGTGCAAAAAGTAAACTGCATGGAAATGAATATTTGATTTTTTGGTATTTATTGACTTTTTAACTTCTGTAGTAATTTTTTCACTTTTAAATTAAAACATCAACTTCCCAAACGATCCCTAAGTACCAAAAAAAAAAAAAAAAAAAGGGGAAAGTACACAACCATCCTTAAAATGAAATAGTTTTAGAAGAATTATATATAGCTCCTCCAAACTTAAAAAAGACATCAATGGCAATATGGGTCCTCATGAAAATGTGGATATCTTGCTAATTATGTATGCGAGATTAGAAGATTTTAAAGTTATTCCGTACTTGAGTCACATGTTATCTCAAAATTGGAGACAGAGAGAAGAATTTTTTTTCATAGAAAAGATAAAAACATATATTCTTTGGCTTAATTACATGAATTTAGGCTTTTGAACTTCAATGAGTATTGTGAGTTGTTTAAAATTGACAAACTAGGCATGCTAAACGTGATATATTTCTTCCTATCTAATTTTTGTTGGTAGCTTGTTGGGATCAACAGATGATGGGTCCTAATATGCTTTTTGACTACCAATCAGATCAATTGTTCAAAAATAATTAATGAAAAAGTATATGATTCTAATATTTTTGGTCGCTTGTTGGGATCAACAGGTGATGGGTCCTAATATACTTTTTCACAATGATATGTTAAAAGCAGGGGAAATTACCAATTCAGATCAATTGTTCAAAAATAATTAATGAAAAAGTATATGACTTTAATAACTAAAATTTATAAATTTTATCATTAATTAAAATAAAAAATTCATCCTCCAACTGAACTGTTATTTTCCCTTAAATTGTAATGGAAGAGGCATACGGAGTATTTTATAAATTTTGTTTAATTTTTTATAGAATAGAGCTCCAACAAGATAAGTAATATAATAGATATCTTCTCTTGATTAGTTATATTTAGAGAGTCTAGGTAAACCAATTTGTAGAGTGTTAGAGTAAAATACATATAATACATATCTTTTTAAAAGGTGTGAATCATATGTATTTTATAACTATAGAAGTAAATTGTGCATTATAGAAGGGGTGACCATTGGTTCAATGGTTAAGACTTGGCCTAATAACCTTAAGGTTATGGTTTCAAGTCTTGGGGCCACCACTTTGTGCATTATGCTAAAAGGTTAGGTGTGTACTCAATCTTTTCCCTCCCAAACACACATTAATGTGTACTAATTGAGCGTTGTTTTTTTTAGAAGTAAATTGTATAACTTTATACTTTCTGAGTCGTAACTATAAAAAAAAAAGGGTTCATAATCAAACACAAATAATGCATAACTAAATATCTCAAAATAATATTATAATTAAAGAAAAAAATTGATCATAACTAAAGAAGAAAATAACGTAACTAAAAGTGCACATGGTATGAGATGTACGTAGTAGAATTCTTCTAGAGTGTATAGAGATGGCAATTTAAACCTAGCTCGATGGAGACCCGACTCTCCGACCTCGAATTGAGCGGTTTTTTCTCGAAAAATACTCTCGACGGGTTGGGAATGGTATTCAAAAATAAATCCTCAATGATATTTAGGCCGGGGACGGAGATACATTTCCTAACCTCGGACCAGGCCCGCCCCCGCCCCCGCTCCCGCTCATTTTAGCTCCTGATCCTGTTTATATATACATATATATATATATGTATGTGTGTGTGTGTGTTTTGTGTGTTTAGGGTTTGGTTAACACACAACACAAATAGAACATATGGCCTCCCCCCTCTCTCTCTCTCTCTCCCACACACACACGATTGCCGCTCCCTCACCACAGCTCCTTCCTCACTGCTGTTGTCCCTTACCGCCAATTTTCAAAGGATCCTCTCTCTCTCTCTCGTCCCCTCACCGATTTGGTAGGCGGCGGCTCCTCATCTCTTTCTCACCGGTGTCACTTCTCCCTCACAGCATCATGGAGGTAGCTCCTCCTCCTCTCTCTCTCACTGACGGCGGCTCGTCCTTTCCCTCTCACGGTATCTCTTCGTCTCTCTCTCTCTCTCTCTCTCTCTCTCACGGTATCTCCTATTTCTCTATCTCTTTCTCTCTCTCTCTCTCTCTGTTTTTTGGTTTTGTTCTTCGGATCTGGAAAATGATGAAGATGAAGACTAAGATATTGATGAAGATCTATTGTTGGTGAAAATGATGATGTTTTTGATTTGTTAGATCTGTTAGAGTTTAGATGTTGTTTGATTTGTTAGATGTTTTTTGAGCTCAGATCAGTTGTAAATGTTGTTATTGTTGATGATGTTGATGTTGTTTTTGGAGTTGGTTTTTTTTTTTGGCCAAGAAATTTTTGGGGTCGGGGAAACCCGATCCCCGTTGGGGCGGGGACGGCGGTGGTGATAGATTTCCCGTCGGGGATGGGGGTTGGGGATGGGGAAATTTTCACTATTGGGGATCGGGGATGAGGAGCGTGATCCTCGGCCCCGCCCCGGTCCATTGCCATTCCTAAGAGTGTATACTAAGCAAAGTGATTAGGTAAAATACTTATTTTTGTACTTTTGTTATACAAAATGTCTATTAGGGTGTGTTTATTTGGACGAACTGGATAATGGGGGATTGTAATTCATCGGATTGTTTATCGTGGGATACATTGTCCCCGGATTATTTGGTTGGATTAGATTTATATCCTATGTTTGTTTAGTCATTGGATTAGATGTCTGAATTGGACTATTTTTAATGAATCTAATGTTTGGTTGGACGGATTGAATAAGAATAAATGTTTAAAAGACTATTTTACCCTTGTAATTTATAATTTTTATTTAATATATAATTTTAAATTTGTAATCTATAATTTATAATTTAACAACACTAAATTTTTTTAATTTATAAGGCCATAATTTTTAAATTATTATTTTCAGTTAAATTAAATTTATAATTTATATTTTTTATTTAATACATAATTTTAAATTAACAACACTAAAAAAATAATTTTATTTAATATATAAATTTAATTTT